ACTCACGGACCGCGAGATCGTGACCTGGCTGAAGTCGGAGGCTCAACCGACTGCGCCACCCAGGCGCCCCCAATCTTACTTTTAATATAGATTTAATAAGACCATTCTTCTTCCATGATATAAGTGCTCTAAAGTCTAATTCAATGAAAATCTCTAATATTTGTATTTTATTCAGCTGTTTTGGCATCCTACACATATAAGCTGAATTTGGAAATGTGAACTGTTCTTTGAAAGAAATAAAACAGAATGAGAAAAAAAGATATTGATCATAGTATCTTCAAATAAAGATAAAAGAGTAGAAAAGTTCTCTAAGCTTCCAACCGGGCCTTGCAACATGTTGGCTGGAATAGCATAACTAGTGGAATAAGCTTCAAATCCACTCTTAACTTAATTAAAGAATAATGTAACATGACTTCTATTAATTTATATGTTCCAAACTTGAGTGCTATAGATCTCAGGGCTAGGGTGTCTCAAGTTCTTTACTCAACTGTGTAGAATGAGGAATATACAATGAAAGCAACAATCCAAATAAGATTCACACAACTAGCCAAATGACAGAGATTTCAAGAGTGGAGGTGGATGTATTCTACCTATCCTCACTCCATACGCATGCATTAGTGGAACAGGAAGGTATACTTTCATATTTGAGTGGTATATTTTTTAGATGCTCAACCTGAAGATCTAGAAAAATTCTAGGTAATCACATATTCTAAGTCAATGATCTTATGAAGATAGAGAAAGCTTTCATGAAGAGGGACATAATAATACCAAAGAGCTCAGGAATGAGTGACCTTTTGGGACAGCACAGATCCTGACTACAACTCCTATGTAAATATCTCCAGCAATACTTACAATACTGCTAAACTATGCCATCATACCTCTATTTTTTTCTAAATTAGATCATAATTTGTTCTTTAATATAAAGAAACAAAAAGCAAATCAGATCTGGAAATGGATACCATGAGCCAGCATAAACAAATCATGACATTCTTTGTTTAATTAGTATGTAGTGGACGCTAAGGAAATGTACAAAATCAAACACCTCCATCCCGGTGAGGGCTGCTTCACAAAGTAGTCACCTTGGGGGTTACCGACTGATTTTGAGGAGACTTCCATTTTAAAAAGCACATTCTTCTTTGGAGATTGCCTTCGGGGCCCTTTACAAAACACACATACACACACACTATTTCATTACCTCATATCACAATTTGTTTTTATAGATTTAAAACTGAAACCAATAAACATGACAATAAAACAAGTGCACATTTTGACAACATTGAGAGAACATCTTCTCTGATGAGTTATATGCTCCTGAAAACAAATAATGAACCCCTAAACAATAAACCAGAATGATCCTTCCCCAAAACTGGAAAAACTTACTGGTAAATGGCCAAGGAGACAAGTGATGCTTCCACCGACATAAATTATCACTCCATCTAGGCTCAGTATTATCATAAAGCCATCTAATGACTAATGAAGAGAGAATAATAATGTAATTAAATAGTGGAACAATAATAAAATGATAGCTTTATTTCTAAATGCATAAATAATTATAATAGCACACTGAAAATGTATTGTGGGCCTTAAATATCAATAAAGCAGGCACAGACTTAATTAAAATTCCATTATTCTGCCTCCTACACAGAATCTACTTAACCTTAAGCATGAGATGTTTATCAAATGATGTGTCACTTAGACAAACAAATTTTAATGTATACTCAATTAACACAAAGCTCTCCAACACAAGCTAGGAAGATTCATTTCCATGTGTAGGTTGTTTCACATTTATTCAAAATTAATTTCAAAAATGCTAAGAATATTTTGCAGGGCATTTTTATTTGTGGTTAGTCACCTACTTATACATATGGAGATTACCATCACTTTCCTGCTATATAATGGATTTGATATCCAGACAAGTGCCTCCTGGTCGAGAACCCCTAAAATTATGAATAAAGTATATAAAAATGTATATTTCAAAACAAAACCAAGCTTATTGTAAAGTAAAGGAAACAATCTGGTATCAGAAATTACTATAACATGAGAATTAACAGGTAAGGGGATATTGGAGCTTGAATTTGCCTTGTAAATATCTGCATAACACTGATGGCATAGAGATTGGGAGAGAGAAAGCAAAACCAGGCATACACAAGGTGGGAAGTGAAATCAGAGACTTCTGCATAAAACCAGGCTTCCCAAAGGGTAACACTCTCAGCAGACAAAATAGATCTTATCCAGCAAAGGGAGAGAGTGAATGCACATGTCTGCCTCAGGCTCAGCTCTGGCTAGAGAAGGAAAAGAAAACTAGTCTCATCTAAGAATCACTAAACAGAAGCTCTCACTCACACAGATTTGGAGCTGGAATTCACAAACTACCTGTGTAACTTTCCAGACCCCAAGCCCATTATTTAGTTTAAAGTGGTCTTGGGGCACCTGGGTGGCCAACTCTGGAGCATCTGACTCTTTTTTTTTTTTTTAATTTTTTTTCAACGTTTATTTATTTTTGGGACAGAGAGAGACAGAGCATGAACGGGGGAGGGGCAGAGAGAGAGGGAGACACAGAATCGGAAACAGGCTCCAGGCTCTGAGCCATCAGCCCAGAGCCCAACGTGGGGCTCGAACTCACAGACTGTGAGATCGTGACCTGAGCTGAAGTCGGACGCTTAACCGACTGCGACACCCAGGCGCCCCTGGAGCATCTGACTCTTAATCTCAGTTCAGGTCGTGATTTTGCAGACTGTGAGATTGGGCCCACCCCTGCATCAGGCTCTGCGCTGACAGCGTAGAGCCTGCTTGGGATTCTCTCTCTCCCTCTCTCTGCCCCTCCCCCGCTCATGTTTGCTCATGCTCTCTCTTTCTCTCAAAAATAAATAAAACAAACTTTAAAAAATTGTTTAAATAAATAAAGTGCTTCTCACTCTGGACATCTAGTAAAAAGAAACTGAAATCATTTCTAGAGAAATCATTTTAAAAACAGGGCTTGAGGCACCTGGGTGGCTCAGTCAGTTAGGTGGCTGACTCTTAATTTCAGCTCAGGTCATGATATCATGGTTCGTGAATTCATGAGTTCATGAGCTTGAGCCCCACATCAGGCTCCACACTGACTGTGTAGAACCTGCTTGTGATTTTCTCTCTCTCCCTCTCTCTCTCCCCCTCCCCCACTCACTTGAGTGGGTTCTCTCTCTCTCTCAAAAATAAATAAATAAACTTTAAGCAATTTACAACCAGGGCTCAAAGAATTCATGTGGATAAAGTTCCAAATGACATGAGCTCATAATAAGATATTGAAAACACAAGAAGAAATAAAACATGAACAATGGGCAGAATAAATAACAAAATGCAGAATCAAAATAAAAAACAGCAGATACCAAAATTACTGAAGATAGAATATAAAAGAAGTTTGCTTAAATTGCTTAAATAAATAATAAAGGGTAAATATGATGAAAGAACAAGAGACTCAAAACTGACCAGGCAGACATAAAAAGTAAACAAATGTCTAGAAATTATATTATTATCAAAAATTAAAATACAATGTACAGTTAAATAGTATGCTAGAACATAGCTGGAAAGAAAACAGAGCTAAAGAAATGACTCAGACTGCAACACAGAAAGACATGGGGATGGAAAATATGGGAAACTGAATGACACAGAGAAGGGAGTGAGGAAGTGTGCTAGATATTTTACAGTATGTCCACTTTATTCTCACAACTCAGTGAAGGCAATTTTTCAATACCCATTATATAGAGGAAGAAATCAAGGATCAGAGATAATAACTTTCTCAAGGACACACAGCAAATAAATGACAAAGGCATAATTCATAGCCTTATCTGTCTGACTCAAAAGACCATGGTCTGGGACACCTGGATGGCTAGGTCAGTTTAGCGGCAGACTCTTGATTTAGGTTCAGATTGTGATTTTGTGGTTCATGGGACCCTGCATCAGGATCTGTACTGACAGCCAGAGCCTGCTTGGGATTCTCTCTCTCCCTCTCTCTGCCCCTCCCCAGCTCATATTCACTCTTTTTCTCTTTCAAAATAAATAAATAAATAAACATTAAAAAAAAGAAAAGAAAAAGTCCATGGTAATTCAGGTTTTAGTTGTGGCCTTTGAATTTAGTAAAACTAACCAGTTTCCTTGGAGATAGAAACCATAAACACCTCATGTCCTTGACAGAAAAAAAAATAAGACTTGAAGGCCTGTTTTATAGAGGCTAACAATCTATGTTGAAGGGTCTACCAGATATTACTTAATTTGCCACTAACCCATGCAAAGACTTGTTTGTGTTTGTTGTCACTCAAGATGAGTGGTTCTCAAAACTCAGTTAGCAAAGAAGCATCTGTAGAGCCTGTTAGAAATGCAGGCTCCTGGCTCTACCAGAATTGAGACTCTGATTCAGGCAGTTCAAGGTGGGTCCCAAGAATCTGTGTTTTCACCAAGCTTCCTAGGTAATTCTGATATGTATGGTCTCCAAGCCACACTGTGAAAAACACTATTTTTTATCTTCTATTGCATGTATTCTACATATAAAATAATCCAAGAAAGAATGCCCTCTTACTTGTAGTGTCTTACACTTGAAGTCTTCATAGCTCTGAAATGATGGAATCCAATTAGATATGTCTCTGGAGGTTTCCGGATTGACTTTGCCTTTTTAGGAAAACAAAGAAGGATAGAAAACTGTCACATTAAAATGATTAGATATGGGTATTAGATTTTTCAAAGTTATAATTAATTTTATAGAAAAGACTCTCATGAGAAAATGCTGAGTGCTAATGAAGGAGCTGATGTAGACTAATTAATTGCTTATAAATGATCAGAAACAGAGAAGTGTTTGGAATTGAAAAAGGCCTTGAAGATCATCCAACTCAATTTCCACTTGTACACACTTCTCCAAAGATTTTATGATTTTTAACCTCCAGTTCTTTCCTTTTGTTGACTTCTTCAAGTCTTCTGCATTCTACCAAAACCTGGTAATTTTAATATGAAAGATAAGGTACAGGCTGTGTCAAGGGCTCTAGGTAGATCCAAGCACCTAACTAGAAAATCTTTAAGCCCTATCTCATATCTCTTCGAAGCTGTTAACAATGTTCTATCTCCCATCTATCCTTCTTCACTCTTCAAGGTTCTCTGGTTTTCCCAGTGAGCCCTGTTTCTTCACTCAGAGCTTTTGCCATCAACAGCTGCTCCCTTCACCCCCCCAATCCTATCTACTCTACTAACTTCACTAACTCAGGGATTTCCCTAACACAAATCTCCAATCTCCAGTTATTTTAATGCATGTCAATTAACTGTTAGTTTCTTCTCCTTACAAATAACTTAGAGACCCATGGAATACAACTTTTACCCGTATTAAAAATGTTAAATCTCCTGACAAGGATAATTCTGATAGCAGAGTTTGTTTTCTTAGAGAGTATGAGTCTCAGATCCTTTCCTATCAGTAGATGTAGGTAAGAAGCAGACCAAGCATGAGCAGAGAAGTTCCAGAACCCTCACTAAAGAAGAAATGAAGAGGGTGTGTAACTGCATGGGAAATGACAGAATATAAAAATAAACCATGCCAATTGCACAAATGCCTCAAGATCAGTGTTTTCGACCACTGTCCCAGCCTGGAAATTCAATTCTGGTCAGAGCTCCTCAAGCTCAGGAAACAACCCATGACACTCTCCAATAGCTGATTTCTGAAGTCATTTCCCCACTGTCTTTCAGCTTTGCCTAGTGACTTTCATCTCCTATACTCCCTCCAAAGAAATAAATGAGATTGAAAAGAGTCTACATATTTCCAAGAAAATAAAACCAATGTATTTTATCAATCAACCATAAAAGGCTTATCTACATTACTATTGTCCATAAATTTATTCTTGTTTTGCTTGCAGGACAGGCACTGTATCCAATTCTTCACGAACACCCCAGTGTCCAGTATTTAATTAATAATATGGAACTTGGTAATTCTTGTTAAATTAAACCTCATTCATTCACTCATTCATTTAACTGATATTTACTGAGCTCCAACTATGTATCCTACTTTGTTCTAGAGGCTCAGGATATAGTATGAACAAGACAAGTGAGGTAACTATCCTTTTGTATCTTATAGACTGGTGGAGGGGTAGACAGATAATGAACACATGGACACTGGAACCAATAATTTCATATACCTTTAAGTACCATAATTTAGACTGGGTGATCAAGAAAAGCTTGACTGAAGGTACCATCTGAGCCAAGCTCTGAGTGACAGGAAGACAGCCACAGCAAAACCTGGGAGCAAGGCATCCTGAGCAGAGGAAGCAGTAAGTTAAGTGAAGCATGAAAGAATTTGTCCTATTTAAATTACAGACAGGAGGTGAAAGTGGCTACAGTAGGGTGACCAAAGGATAGAGTAGTAGGAAATGAAGTCTGAAAGGCAGGGCCAAATCATGTAGGGTATATGTTAAGGAGTTAGCATTACTCTGAATGGAATATGAAATACTTTCAAGCAGGAGGGTGACATACGTTTTTAAAAGACTACTATGGCTGTTTGTGCAAAATAGATCAAATTGGGGAACAAGAGTGGAAGCAGAGTCTCGTCAGAAAGCTTCTGCAAAAGTAACAGATGATGGTGGCCTGGATTAAGTTGGTATACCAAGGCTATGGAAATGGGGAGAAGTGAATAAATTTGAGATATATTTTAGAGGCAAAACCAAAAGGACTTGCTGATGGATTGGGTGAGGAGGTGGAAGAAATAGAGGACACAAGAATGATTTATAGATTTTTAGCTTGAGCCACTGGAAGAATGACTGGTGGTACCAGTTACTGGAATAAGGAGAACCGGGAGGGGGTAGGTGGGTGTGAGAGGCAATGAAGTGGAGAAGGACCACAGGTTCCTTTATGACCATAATAACCTTTCTATTAGATATCCAAGTGAAGAAATCACATGGGAAACTCTTGCTGATTTAATAACGTGTATGATTCTCGAGTATGGAGTTCAGGTAGGTCAGGGCTAGAGACAGACTTATAAAGCAGAGGTCACTGACATCCAGGTAGCACTTCCAGTTAGGATACTGGATGAGATTACCCAGGAAATGAGTGTAGACATAGAAGAAAAAAGGTCCAAGGACTGAGTTCTAGGCCACACCAGTGTTCAGAAGTTGAAAGGGGAAGTAGAAAAGTAGAAAGAAAAAACGGGAAGGAGCAGCAGATGAGCTAAGAGAGAAACAAAGTGAGTGTGTTATCCTGGAAGCCAAGAAAAAAGTACTTCAAGAAGAAAGGAGTGGACGCCTGTCCAATGTTTTTGAAAGGCCACGGAAGATGAGGAGAGTTAAGGGCCAAACAATCAACAATGTGCAGGTCACTGTTATCCCTGACAAAAGTAGCTGTAGTGGAGTTGTGAGAGCTGCAGCCTCAGTGAGTGGATTGAGGAAAAGAATGAAGGATGAAGATGCAGGGAAAAGGTCTTACAGTCATTTCAAAAAGTTGTACTGTGAAGAGGACACAGAAACAGAGTAACAGAAGTATCATGGGGTCAAGAAAATATTTTTTTAAGGTAAGATATTTTTATAGTATGATTATATGCATATGGGTATAACCTGTTCAGATGTTTTGAATTAAGCCTGCTTAGGTATCATAGGTACTATTTTATACCATCAGGGCCATGTTCCCCTTAGCCACATTTACAATATGCTTCAATTGCCTAAGATACATAAATCTGCATTATTATTGCCTGGTATACTTCTATTAATTCTCATTTCTTTATTCTACTTTTCCACGAACCTTAATAACATTTTAAGCATTGGCTATTAATAAACTTACGAATGAAGAGAAACTAAGTATCTGTGTATTAGAAGATGCTTCAGGGGGGTGCCTGGGTGGCTCAGTCAGTTAAGCATCCAACTCTTGATTTTGGCTCAGATCATGATCTCATGGTTTGTGAGTTCAAGCCCCAAGTTGGACTCCTCAGCCTGGTTGGGATTCTCTCTCTCCCTTTCTCTCTCTGGCCCTCCCCCACTCATGCCCTCTCTCAAAATAAGTAAACTTTTTTTTAAAAAGGTGTTTCTGGAGATCCTCTATTCATTAATCTCTCCCAAAGATGTTTGAAGTAAAGGAAGAGATCCAGCTGTCCCACCCACAACTAGTTTTCAATATGGCTAATCAAAAAGCTATACGAATGGGTTAGGGTGCTCAGACCAAACCTTCCTTCTTCTGTGAAGGGTCAGTAGTGTGCTGTGATGTTTTATATCTGTCTCCTTTTACAGGATATCCATGAGCTTGAATTATGGCATGCAGTTTTCTGAAAAAGGAACTGTACTGGTCCTTCTTTTTATTTTCAGATACATTAGATACGTCCCTAAGTGACAAAAAACAATCAAGGTTGTTAATGGTAAGGGTAGGTCTAAGAATTCAGATGGTGGAACAATGGATGGAGGAGAAATAAGAAGAGAGAAAGGGAGTTGTTAATGTCAACATCTGAGCAAAACTCCAGTCCATTGATCATTCATATGACAACAATAACTGCCAATATTAAAATGAGGAAATGAGGGGCGCCTGGGTGGCTCAGTCAGTTAAGTGTCTGACTTTGGCTCAGGTCATGATCTCACAGTTTGTGGGTTCAAGCCCCCTGTTGGGCTCTGTGCTGACAGATCAGAGCCTGGAGCCTGTTTCAGATTCTATGCCTCCCTCTCTCTCTGTCCCTCCCCTGTTCACGCTCTGTCTCTGTCTCAAGAATAAATAAACATTAAAAAATATTTTTTAAATAAAAAATAAAATAAATAAAAAAAATAAAATGAGGAAATGAAAGCCAATTTCATTTAGACTGTGAGGCCCATGAGAGTAGGGACCAGATCTGTCTCAGTGTCTTCCATAGCAAAGCCCAGCACAGTGTCTGGCACGGTGACCTATGAATTATATAAAATAAATTCAATCCAAATTAACTTGAATTTAAATGGTGGACCTTTGTTCCACCATATATTCTTACCTGCTTTTACAAGAGTACTTCTCATTAAAGAAAAATCTCTCTAAATGATCTGTAATTACTCAAGAGGCTCTTGCAAAGCCATTGCTCCTTCTCAGAGAGAAGGCTGAGCAACAAAATGATAATTGAGATTGTTTTTTACCTTTGAAAAACAGATCATACTGAAAAATTTGGACAAAAACTTTTTGATCAGTGTACTGGAATTTATTTTAGATGCTTGAATTGGAAAAATAAGGTAATTTATCTTTCCAAACATGTATGAATTTAAGCTCTAGGCAAGCCATGGACCCAAAACAGGCTTCTAAACCTATCAGGGAGTGTAAACCATTTATGTAGTATCAGCTCTGGGCAACCACTGTGTAAGGTGGAGGACACAGTTTGAAGAGGGAGGTTTTCAAGGAATATTTGCTTTACCTATGCATTACATAGGTAATCCACTTAGTATTATAACAGAGTTGGGGCTATGGGTTATGGAAAACCCACTGGAGATACCAAATTTCCCTGAGTCAGGCTTCCCCCGAGGAAGTAGTATTTTGCTAGATGTGAAATAGGAACAGAAGACAGGGGAGAGGGCTTTGACAGAAATATCAGTCAGTTATGAATTCATACCTCTTCTCTTTTTCTCTCTCAGACTCATCCATTATTCAGTG